TTTTGAGAGTTACTTCACCTGCCAACTTCTCATGTCAACTTTTCGGCTGTTATCTCATTCTACTAAAAGCACAAGCTAATTTGTCGGGTGTTACTTCACTATCCTAAAAACACAAGCTAACTTTTCTGTTCTACCTTCACATCTCGACTCTTAATTCTTCTTCTTTTTATGGCGGGGGTAGGCCCGACGGGAGCTTACGAAACGCACCCCTCTGCGGAGATCGTGCGTGTCGAAGCGCTCTCGCTGTGGCGCCGTGCGAATTTGTCTTGAGCCGGCGAACCCTCTGCGGAGATCGTGCGTGTCGAAGCGCTCTCGCTGTGGCGCCGTGCGAATTTGTCTTGACCTTGGCGAACCCTCTGCGGAGATCGTGCGTGTCGAAGCGCTCTCGCTGTGGCGCCGTGCGAATTTGTCTTGACCTTGGCGAACCCTCTGCGGAGATCGTGCGTGTCGAAGCGCTCTCGCTGTGGCGCCGTGCGAATTTGTCTTGACCTTGGCGAACCCTCTGCGGAGATCGTGCGTGTCGAAGCGCTCTCGCTGTGGCGCCGTGCGAATTTGTCTTGACCTTGGCGAACCCTCTGCGGAGATCGTGCGTGTCGAAGCGCTCTCGCTGTGGCGCCGTGCGAATTTGTCTTGACCTTGGCGAACCCTCTGCGGAGATCGTGCGTGTCGAAGCGCTCTCGCTGTGGCGCCGTGCGAATTTGTCTTGACCTTGGCGAACCCTCTGCGGAGATCGTGCGTGTCGAAGCGCTCTCGCTGTGGCGCCGTGCGAATTTGTCTTGACCTTGGCGAACCCTCTGCGGAGATCGTGCGTGTCGAAGCGCTCTCGCTGTGGCGCCGTGCGAATTTGTCTTGACCTTGGCGAACCCTCTGCGGAGATCGTGCGTGTCGAAGCGCTCTCGCTGTGGCGCCGTGCGAATTTGTCTTGACCTTGGCGAACCCTCTGCGGAGATCCTGCGTGTCGAAGCGCTCTCGCTGTGGCGCCGTGCGAATTTGTCTTGAGCCCGATGAACCCTCTGCGGGGATCGTGCGTGTCGGATCGCTCTCGCTGTGGCGCCGTGCGATTTTCTTGCTCGCGAAACGGCTTTTGGAAGTTGTCTCGTGGTGTGCGCGCCTGCTTTCGCAATCCCGCGGTCCCGGGTTCGATTCCCCCCTGGTCCGCGGCAGCTCCGGCTTGAAAATCGCAGCTTTTAAGTACAAACGTAGTACGCGGAGCGTGCTCCTGCAGCTCCGGCTGGAAAATCGCAACTTTTAAGTACAGACGTAGTACGCGGAGGCTGCTGCAGCTCCGGCTGGAAAATCGCACTTTTTAAGTACAGACGTAGTACGCGGAGCGTGCTCCCGCAGCTCCGGCTGGAAAATCGCAACTTTTAGATACAAATGGCTGGAAAATCGCAACTGTAAATTGCAAATGTAGCACGCGGAGCGCCTCCGCCGCTCCAGCTTTTTGAGGGTTAATTACTTCACCTGCCAGTTTCTCATGCCGAAACTTCGAGAATTACTTCACCTGCCAGCTTCTCATGCCACCTTTTCGAGAGTTACTTCACCTGCCAACTTCTCGTGCCAACTTTTCGAGGAGTTACTTCACCTGCGAGCTTATCATGCCAACTTTTCGAGAGTTACTACACCTGCGAGCTTCTCATGCCAACTTTTCGAGAATTACTTTACCTGCCAACTTCTCATGCCAACTTTTCGAGAAATACTTTACCTGCCAACCTCTCGTGGCAACTTCACCTGCCAACTTTTCGAGAATTACTTCACCTGCCAACTTCTCATGCCAACTTTTCGAGAAATACTTTATCTGCCAACCTCTCGTGGCAACTTTTCGCAAAATTACTTCACCTGCCAGCTTCTCATGCCAACTTTTCGAGAGGTACTTCACCTGCCAACATCGCCTGCCAACTTTTCGAGAGTTACTTCGCCTGCCAACTTCTCGCGCCAACTTTTCGAGAATTACTTCGCCTGCCAACTTCTCATGCTAACTTTTCGAAAGTTACTTCACCTGCCGGCTTCTCACGCCAACTTTTCGAGAGTTACTTCACGCGCCATCTTCTCGTGCCAACTTTTCGAGAATTACTTCACCTGCCAGCTTCTCACGCCAACTTTTCGAGAGTTACTTCACCTGCCAACTTCTCATGCCAACTCTTTGAGAGTTATTTCACCTGCCAACTTCTCATGCCAACTTTTCTCTTGAGTTACTTCGCCTGCCAACTTCTCATGTCAACTTTGCGAGAATTACTTCACCCGCCAACTTTGCCAGCCAACTATTCGAGAGTTACTTAACCTGCCAGCTTCTCATGCCAACTTTTTGAGAATTGCTTCGCCTGCCAACTCCTCATGCTAACTTTGCGAGAGTTACCTCACCTGCATCAACTTGCCTCTATGCTTCCGGGCCACTCGTCGTCTAGTTTGACAACTAAGTCCCGTGCTGCATTGGTCGTGGAGCTTCTCACAGGCTTGTCTAAAACGTCGCAGGAACATTTTTGGAGCGAGCCGGAAAGAATCTGACCCACTTTGAACACTGGGCTGGTAGCAAAAAACGCGTGGGACGAACGCATGAATGACTGCTTTTCGCAGGGTCACTTTGCAACTTTGTTTCGGGCAACTCGGGCCTGGAAAGCTGCTTGAGCAGAGACAGACTCAAAATCCCATAAATTGCGCACGGGTTTGTATTTTGTTTTAAATGGGATTTGTACGGTTTTTGTACGGGTTGGGAAAACCTAGTTTTCGGAAAAAGAAGGATTCTACGGGATTTTATGGGATCCCTACGGGATTTATATCGGTTTCCTTTTGTTTCGCACGTGCTCGCCCGTCCAGAAGCTTTCCAGGAAACAAAAGCGGGCATATAGCTAGATTGCGCGAGCAGCGAACTGGTTTTGTGTGACATTGCGGTAGAACGTCCGGAGGCTTTCGGGCACAAACACGTACTACGCAACAGGGTTGGCTTGGACTGCGTTCCCATCGAATCGAAGTTATGAGGAATCTCTGGGTGCTGGAAGAAAGTACGACTTAGGCGGAGGCCAGCTTTGTTGGCGTCTGGCTTGTGCGCCGAGCAACGAATGCAAGTGCCACTTTGGGATACTGCTGATGCTTCAAAAACAAAAAGGTACCATGCTTGAGCATGATGTGTGAACCGTGCAGAGCTACTGATGGTCATGTAGTGAACTGCGCAGTTGCACATTCAAGTTGGTTGTCCCCCTTCATTCTTGAGTTTTGGCTCGCGTCTACCCCTGCCTTTTGAGCTCCAATCTTGGAGCAGGGGGCTATCGCGCACTTGGCCGTAATTAAAAATATCTAGAAAAACAATATACAGTTTGGCAGTGGAAGAAGCTTGGCGGCTCCTTTCAACACCTGCTCGAGCTCCGGGACCTTCGCTCTGTTCTTCGAACATCTGACAGTTCGCTTGCGAAAAGCGCCAAAATAAAGGATGTAAGTAAAAAATCCGGTTTTTCCCTGGAACACCCGAATTTTCCAAAACTTGCTCAAACCAAGGTTTTCCCATTTGACCCTTTAAAATTAAAGGTTTTTCGCTTAGAGGGAACTCAGGATCCAATTTGCAGGTGGTGTCAGCAGGCATTTGCAGGCTGGTGTATCCAGCGGTCGTCATGAATTCTGGTGCAATGGGATGCCCAGATGAATGGTGGGGCAAGGCGCTCAGGCAGGACCATGGTGAAAACGAGAACTTGTTGAGGAATGGGGGTACGTTGTAGCTTCGACAAATACACCTCAACATGGAGCAGCGCTGGAGTGCGTCACACTTCTGCGGTCAAATGTGTGGATAGAATCAAAAGCATTCCGGTCAAGCCATGTAAAGCCCATACCGTACCAATGTGCCTCTCTATTTTCCATGGGCGAGCGAGTGCTACAGACTGCGCTTTTGCGTGAGCGCACCTTCCAAAGAGAGAGAAAGAGAGAAAGAGAGACGGGGAGAATTTCCTTCACTTTGACAAGCTACATTGCGGAAATTTGTGTGTGATGCTGTTGGGCGTCGGCGAGCAACGGGGCTTTTTCTGCTTTCAGCCAAGGGCTTTCTCTTTGCTGTTTATCGCTAGCGAACCTGCCAGGAACAAGGTGAACCGCATGAACCTATGGACCCTTGGTCAATTTACTGCTTTTGTTCAATGCCTTCCTGGGAGGGGGGATGTGTGTATGTGTCTGTGTCTGTGTCCGTGTCTGTGTCTGTGTGTGTGTCTCTGTGTGTGTGTCTCTCTGTGTGTGTGTGTGTGTGTCTCTGTGTGTGTGTGTGTCTCTGTGTTTTTTTTTTGGTGTTTTGTGTTGTTGTGTTGTTGTGTTTTTGTGTGTTTGTTTGTTTGTTTGCTTGCTTGCTTGCTTGTTTGTTTGTTTGTTTGTTTGTTTGTTTGTTTGTTTGCCTGTTTGTTTGCCTGTTTGTTTGTTTGCCTGTCTGTTTGTTTGTCTCTGTCTGTCTGTCTGTCTGTCTGTCTGTCTGTCTGTCTGTCTGTCTGTCTGTCTGTCTGTTTGTCTGTTTGTTTCTGTGTGACTGCCTCCGGGTGTCTCCGCGCGTCGCCAGGAGGGCACGCTCTTCGTGCGCCTGGAGTGGACCTCGCGCTGCCTTCCACAACAGCAGCCCAAGTTGCTGCAGCCGGAAGCCCTGGGCATAGTGTTTTGTTGAGCGTACCTCAGGTGGGTTCCAACAGGAACCAACGGGAAACCACGAGTTGTTTTTTTAGTTTTTGGGAGTCCGCGTATTCTGACTCATGTCCACATATTCCCGGACCTCCAGTCGGGCATGTCCATTTCCTTTCTCTAGGGGGGGTCCCTCTAAGATTGGACTCTAACATCATCTAACAGAAGGTTGCCCTGTTTCTCGTGGCCACTGCAGGTTTGGGTAATTGAAAGCAGCGGAGCAAGCTGTGCTCGGTCTTGTTCATGCTAGTTTGTCTTTCAATATAATGAGCTGCATAGAGTTGCACTCAAGAGCAATGCCCATGTCCGCGATCTTTCTCAGTTGGGCCCGAGAAGCCGGGGGCATGGCCATGGCCGCCATGGCCGCCACGGCGATGGCGAAGCTGTACTTTTGCCTGGCGCCGATTTCGCTTGGACAGAAAGCTGCACTGGTCGAGGGCCCTGTGGAGGGAAGCTGCGAGCTTGGTGTGTGCGAGTTCCTGGGTGCGCCCGGCCACGCTTGAGCAGAGCGAACCCCCATGTCGTGCATGGAATACGGCAAAATATCGTTCCCAAACATGCTCCCGACATGTGGGCACGTGTGGAGGTGGGAGGGGTGATGGGGCTTGCGAAGTGAATTGCCCCTTGTTTCAGCGGCTCCTGAGCTGCCACAGTTGCCTTTGGTTTGGGTATGTCTACGGGGAGCGCTGCTCAAGCCAAGAGTACTTGTGTTGCTTAAATTTAGAGCTTCCAGTGCGCGTCGAAGCTTCCTTGAAGTGTTGCAGGCAGTGGCCAACGTCAGCGTCCACTGAGCGGTTCCCTTGAACAAAATGATCCGCCCTGCCACATCACAGTTTCATAAATCAAAGATCATTGCAGAATGCAGGCGTGCTCCGCAAGAATACGACATGTTGGCAGCACAGGCCTGTTCGGCTTTGCCACCGTGCCGTCGAACTAGAATTCACGCCTTCGGCCCAAGGAGGTTGTAACCTGACTAATGAAAGGGCACCTTGCACCTGTGCCAGCTCCGATGTAAGTGCTTCCGCTGATTCGGGTTGGTCTCAACATAGGTTGGGTACTCCCAAATTGAGATGCTTTCATGTTTTAATGTTCTTTTTGAACGAATTCCAAAACGGGCTCCTCCCCCCCCCAACCCCCGCGCCCCGCCGCCGCCCCCAACCGCCCCCCCCACCCCAACCCCCCAACCCCCCCAAAGAAGGAACAAAGAGCCACCGACCTGGGCCAGGTCTGCGGTACGCCTCGCCGCCGCTGGAAGACCTGAGATGGTCCCCCCCGAAGCCTCTGATGCCCTGGAAAGAGCCGCGCCAAGCGAAGTCCTTCGGGGCAAACTGCATGCAGGCGATGCGAGTTTCGAAAGAAGACACAAGTGCAAGTTGAGGTCCAAAAAATGTTGACCCCATATTTTGTTGAGCCCCAGACTATTAATTTGGGGGTTGGGGGACCCTGCAAAAGTGGTCTGAATCCCCACTAAAACCAGGGAAAACTCATTTGGGGTCTCCTCCAAAGGCCCTTTCGCCGTATTTGTTTGAAGGGAGTCTTGCAACATTGGCTTCGACGCACCCCGAAAGGTGAAGAACAAAAGCATCATCGGCGGCTGAGCTGAAGGTGTTGTCCTTGAGGAAGTCTTCCAGCAGGTCACACCTTTGGCCTTGTCTTTTTATGTCATTGTAATCTGGTTAGCGGCGTTTGTCCGTGGTTGAGGCTGGCATAGAGAGTGCACAGTGTTACGAGTTGCTGATATATATATATATATTCATCATATATCATATCATCGATCAAAACAACAAATACATTGGGTTTGATGCCCCTAGTGTCCGCAACCTTGCAGTGCTGAAAGTTTGGAGCTTTGGACCATCAGACACACCCCATCCGATCAACCTGGAAGAGTACTTTGTCTTTTGGGGGTTCTTGTGCTGTTGGTTTGTTTGTGCTCCGCTTCCTGAGGAAATGAAGACTGCCTCTTCTTGAACGTTTGGGCGCCGGAGAAGTGCCCAGATGCCTCTTGCGCCTCTGCAATGGACTGCCTTTGGTTGGTCTTTGCGAGTTGCGTGGTTCCCTTGGCGCTGGGTCCCTAGAATTGGTGGCTTTCCTTTTTTGGCCAGACGTGGCAACAGCGGCTTTCCTGTTGGTTTCCAGTTGAAGCTTCAAATTCGGGGGCTTCCCAGCCAATATCTTAGCGCAGTCCCTCGAGGCACAGTCATGGTTTGGTTCCACGGCGGCTCTTACGTCACTGGCGGCACCAAGGACAGGGGGATCTTACCAGAAAAAATACAACCCAGCCAATGAAACTCAACCAAGCCTCTTTTTCGAACCCCTCGAAAAGTACGCCTTGATTCTTTGTGGCTGCAAGTCCGAACCTGAGGACATGTTCAACGGCAGTGGCCTGGTACGCCTTGCGAACGTGATCCTCGTGACCGTCAACTACCGCCTGGGCATTCTAGGCGAGCAGCAGTTTCACAAGCCATGGAATCGCAGGAAACTCCAAGGATGAAAGAAGGTTGGACCTTCTGCGCATTTAGCAGATGAAGCAAACCTGGTTCGACTGCGTCAATTTGTACTACCCTCCCTCCCACCAACAGAGCAACTCCGAGAGGTACCTGGAAGATTAATTTCCTCTTGTAGGGACCCTGTGTCAGGTGCGAAGTCAGTGGAAGGGAGGGTATCCGAAAATCCGAAGATCCGTGAGCTGAAAAGTCACACCTGCCTCCAGCAACTTGGAGCTGGCCCTTTGAGAGAGCCCCGTTACGGGAGGCCATGCCAACCAAAGAATGACATAATATGTAAAACCCTGTCAACCCTGTCCTGTAACACGATAGGGTTGCAGGAGAAAAACAACACACACACACAAAACGATAACCTCTACCCGATGTTCTTTGGCTATACAAGAGGTGTAGCAAGTTGCTCATATGAAATGTGTCCTTTCCATACATGGGGGTTGATCAAAAGGTCCTTGAACAGGGATGACCATTGGGGAATGTCACTCTACAGATCATATGTCCCACCAAATGGGAAACAGTTACCCATTTGGGGGCCAGGAGTATTGATCAGCCCCCCACATGTAAAGAATGTGCACCTATCACATGCAACGAATCACCGTCATATCCCTTTTGTGGCGAGGCTTTGCTGGCTCTGAGAGTCTGCGGAGCCGCGCGGAGGACGGCTCCACGGGGAACTATGGCATCCAGGAGCGGAATGAATGGCTACGTACTGTGGATGGACGAAATCCTGCACCACTTTGAAACTATGGGAAGCGATTGTTTGTTGCTATTTACAGGGGAATCATTCATTCCAGGGTTTCTTAGCTGATGCAGGATATCGTCCATCCACAGTATGAGTTTTTTTTGATGGTCGGTGGACATAAAGCCACATTAACTGGGCCTCCAATTGAGATGCATGCCCAAGTTTCAGAGAGGTCTTGGCGGCACCATACCCGTTTGCTTTTTGTTCCAGTGGAAGTCGACAAAAACCTTCAGTCTTCCAGTCCTATCCTGATCCTTCCCGAAGTTTCCTAAGAAACAAACCCCAAAACCCCAGTACCTTCAACCCCAAGTCCACCCGCCGGTTTTGGAAAGTGCCTGGTTGGCTTGTTGGCTTGTTTGGTGGTTTTCTGGTTGGCTGATTGGCTGATCACCTGTTTACTATTTTGGCCCATGTTGAATCAACAAGGACCAGAGAGCAGCTCTGGAATGGGTGCACAGCTTCTCAGCTTGCCGTCGACTTCCCGCGGTTCGGAGCGTTTCTTTTTGGGCGCTTGGGACAGAACCGAGGTGCGATGTCCGCCAAAGGGTTGCGAGTTAATATTAAACCCGAACAGTGGGAACACCTTTTTGAGATGTGCAGGTAAACCACAAGGACGCCAGCCATGAAGAGCCTTTCAAACACTGAAAGCGTCTTGAACCGACCCCCAGCCCAAACACACCCACACACACACACCTGCAGGTTTGGATTCTGTTTATTCATGTTGTTTTCGGGGGAGTGGGAAAGTTTTTCCGTGCTCGGGGGTCTCCCAATCATTTCAATAACGTCTGGTCCCATTATGATGTGTGCAATGGGAAGGCACACAAAATACAACATGCTGCAGCCAGAAAAAACAACAGCGGTCTGTTTCAAGGGAGCCCATGTTTCGATCTGAAGCGGAGAAACACAAGACACCAACCTCGTGACCGGATGTGTCAAAGGGAACCCAAAATGGTTGCCCTTCTTCCTGTTCAACCAACCCTACAAGGGGCCAAACACGGCACGTGCGTGCCCCCCAAAAACAAACAAACCAAACAAAAACACAAGAAGTTCAGGTGATATCCCCAACAGCACCACACCCGCCCTGGTGGAACCCAGGGAAGCCTCACGGAACCTTACCTCAGAGCCCGGATCACCCCGGAGCCTTGGGCTGAGACCCCATGGCTTTCAGCTGGGGAAAAACATGTGGCCATGGGTCAAAAGCCGAATCGGTTAGCCCCCAGTGAGCACCCCAATCCCCATTAATTGGTGCACCTTCCCCAAAATGGTATTGGTTTTGACCCACAGCCATGTTCCTCTAATAGTGCCGAGCCTCCAAGAAACGAAGGCGTGAATGGAGCAAGATCATAAGTGAGCAATGTGGAATCCAGAACTTCACGGCCTTGCCGCCCAGGAAACATCGCCGCCTTTGGAGGCAACACCTCAGACGTTTGTCTCTTCGGGGAGTCTGCGGGCGCGGGGGCCATTGCGGTACACCTCACATCGCCCAGCAGCTGGCAACTGAGCCACAATCAAAACCCGGGTAGATGAAGGTTGGTAGCTACGGCCACCTTCTTAATTCTTTACGTGGTGCTGGGTCGACCATTTTCATGCTAGGTTTTGATTCTGACTCATCTGGGCACACGGCAATGAGCCACAATCAAAGCCAGGGTAGACGAAGGGCAAGGGATCATCCCAACCATAAAATTATGGTTCTGGGTAGACCATTTTAACACCAGGTTGTCAGTATGGCTTGGATGGCTTTGCTTGCATCGTCCTTCCCAAAATGGTTCCGTTATTACTATTATTATTATTTGTTTTTATTATTATTATTATAGCAGGGTCACTGGACACCTTGATGTTGCTCCGTGTGAAGCGCACCGGAAGCTTAGTTCACCGGATATTCCATTTGAGGCAAGTGAGCAATCACATGTTCATTTGGGTCATACCCAGGCTACCCCTTTTTTTGTGGCTTCATAGGGAAGCCAAAACCAACCACCATTTTTGGGTGTCCTCTAAAAAGAGGCGCACCTAGTGGCTATCTATATACATATTTTTTTCAGGGTGGTTTTGGGGGTGTCTTGGAGGGGGTGTCTTAGAGAGAAGCTGCTCGGCCACGCTCCTACGTGGATTTGGCGAGTTGTTGAGGTAGTGGCTGGTTTGAAGGGAATCCAAAAGGAAAGCCACCACCGCTGGCATATAAATTGGATGGACGCATGATTCAGAAGTTCCCCTTGGAGCACGTCAGCGTTTCCTGAGGTCATGTAGAGGGTATTGGGCAGCCTTCCACATGTCCAAACTTCCTCATGGGGCCCCAAGATAAGGGAGGCCCTTTGCCTTTAAGCTCGGAGGTTGATGACCATCCTCAACCCACCCACGCCTTGAGTGAGCCTTTCGGTACCACGGCACAAAGCGATCCAAGAGGAGGCCGTTTTTGGGACATGGACCTTGTTTTGGGTTCCAGGTCAATTTGCTGGGGAGTAGGTCGGCAAAATCCGAAAGATTCATGCTGTTTCAGCCCAGGCCTTTGTACAGCCGCGTGATGATGCAGTCAGGGGCCTTCAGCTACTGGAATGCCCAGCCCATGGAGGATGCCGAGATACAGTTCCGCAATCTCTTGGATGCTCGGAGGTTCATAATTGGGTTTGTCTCAGAATATTGCAATCCCCCTCCGATTTTTAGGTTCTGATGTTTTTTGGTGATGCACCAAAAAAGGGTACCCTCAAGAAGAGACATGCCCAATTGTCGCAGTTTGCCAGGACCATTGGCATGGCATGTTTGATTCGTTGTTTAAAGCTCGAGTGCCTCAATGACGAATCAGCCATGCTCACAAATGTAAATGCTGGCTTTGGTTTTGTAGCATTAGCAAATGATTTTGCTTGCAAAGGGTCCGTTAAGGCGGCATCCTCAAAAGTACTCTCTAAATGGTTCAAAGGACATCCACCCCCAAAAGAATTTGGAGCAACCCTCAAATGGTCACTTTGAGGGACCAAGTCGCACAGAATCACGTACTGCAGCGGCCGCAGTGGTGCATCACGTAAGATGACGGTTTGAGCTGGAAATTTGCAGTCCATGCAAGCAGTATGCGCAAGTGCATTCTGCTGGTGGGAGCATCATTTGGTTGCACAGCACACGCATCCTACAAGGGTTGCTTTCTTCATGATGCAAAGCCCGGATTACATCAAATGCAGGCGGCTTCAAAATTGCGCAGCGCGTCTAATAAGAAAAGTCAGGCGGCACCTCCAACAACCCCAATTCGCGCCTCCGTGCGCACACAGCTGGAACTCTGATCGGGTGTACACCCATTTATGCATACGTAGAGCCAGCTATGTTTGGTGATTCAATGGTTTGCAAGCACCTGGGCCTGGCAAATATCCTGCTGCCCAGTGTCAAAGCAGAAGTGACATCAATTATCACAGGGACTCAAAGCATGCATGTGCCCCACTAGCAGGTGTTTTTGAGCTTGTTCTTCTACCCAAATTGCCCCACCCTCTATGATATGTGCTGCCACGCCGCATCTCCCCGCAAGCAGTTGCGCTTCTAAAACATCACGTCTTTGGAGGACGGCCCTCTAACACATGTATATACCAATACATGTATGTTTTGTTTTGTTTAATTTATATATATATATACATATATATATATATATATGTATAGAGATAGATAGATAGATAGATCGATAGATCGATAGATAGATACACGTGTGCATAATATGTGTTTTATATGATATGTTCGCAATATGTGCAATAGGATCTTTCTCATACTCTGTTTTGTGCTGACAGATCAGTGATTTGCAAGTATTAGCTTCCACTGCAAAGGGCCTGTGAGCCTCGTTGTTTGCAAAGCCTGCTTTGCAGCATGCAGAAGGTAACTTTTGGGTCTTGTTAGAGGTGCTTCGTTCGAACAGCCAGCAGCAAGCCGCAAGTCGTGGAAGTCGGCAGTCAAGCCATTGGAGGGCCCGTGGGTGTTTTTCGGAGCTCCAGTTCCAGTTTGCTGGGCCCATGAACCAAGGGTCTCTTGGTGGTTCCAGGCCATCCCCTGAGCTTTTTAGCTGTTTCGTGCTGGGGATTTCCATTCCCGCTAAAAGTTTCACTTTTAGCGAGGGATCTGTTGGCAGCCCAGTGGTTCGAAAACGACCCGGGCACCGCCCCCCCAGCTTACAGCTTGCACGTAAGGACGCCACTGGCTGTCCGGACACCGCCTGCTTGCTGCAAATGCCGGGGGACGCCTTGACTGGCCTGGCCACTGTGGAGTTGAATCCAGAACCGCTGCCGGAGGGATGGAAGGCCAGGTCTCGGCTCCTGTTCGCGTCTAGCAGCATGGAATATGTTGCGGGTTCCCTCAGTATGTGAACCCACTTTGGCGGGTTGTAAACGGAAACTAAGAGGAAACCACACAAAACAGGTGACTCAATGCTTTATATATTTCATGAGTTGCAAATTGTCGGGTGATCACTTGTTCACGTGCGATGCTGCTAACTGACATGGGGCCAGTCCATGTTTCCAGTTTGAAATCCGGTGTTTCCATTGAACCTGGGGAGAACAACCCTCCTCCGGGAAAAAAAAGCTGGTCCCGAGGCTTACGGCACCTTCTTTTCTCCCACAGTGGATGGGGTGGTGCTGAAAGCTCTGCCCTGGCAGCTTTTGAAGGAGGGCCGCTTCAACCGGAAAGTGGCCGTGCCACTTGGCAGTGGGTCACAAATAGGTACCCAAAATGGAACCGTAGTAAATGGAACCAAGGACTAAAACCTGCGGTCCGCTGGTGGTGTAATTTTTACCCACAGCAACTTGGAGATCGGTTCAGATTTGTTTGAAGCTGCTAGTATAATCGGGGCAACTCCCCAAAAGTTGCCGCTGCATCTTCCCAAGTGAATTGGATGTTCCTGAAATGAGACACTTTTGTGTCAAGCAGAGAACGGGGGGGGGGGGGGGGTAATTTGTTGTTTGCGACTTTGAATTGGGTGGATCCCAGATGCGTAAGCAGGCATTGGAACATATACGCACTCAACGTAGTTGTTGCATTCGGATCAGTGCTTCTGGGAAGCATGCTATCTAATTTCCTTTCACTGAAGTAACATGTGGGACACATACTGTGGATGGACAAGTCGACTTCGCACCGGTTGGTTGGCAAGTGTTTTTTTTCTTCCTCCAGTAGTCATGTATGGCACTTATGGTTTTGAGGTGTTTCCGACAGAGCCGTGGCGGACATTCGTTTGGTCTTCCTCGTCACCCCCACGACAAGAAGACTTGGCTCGCTCCATACACCCTCGCTTAGCTTCGTGACATTCTCTCATTCACAAAGCTGGGCTGGCTGCTTGCATGCCATCTCGTTGCATCCGAGGAATACCGAAAACACTGATTTAACCGTGGCTTTGAGGCTGTTGGGCTTCAACCGTGATGAGGGCACTGTGCTGGCAAGCTGTGAGGGCACTCCCAAGTGCGCCATCCTGCAAAAGGGTGGGAGGACGCTTGGACCGACGGGTGAATGCTATGAAACACCAAGGGGTGCTCCAGCTTTTGTGTGTGTGCGACTCAAGAATTAAAGTTTCCAAAGCGCCTTGGTGTTTGTTGTTGTTTCCAGACCCCCTATTCAACACCTAGCAACAAGAGGCAGGCTGGAATCAAAGTTTGTGGGCTGGCTAGGGGTGCTTCATGCTCGCAAGGATGACAGAATCGGACTTCAGAGAACTGCTGACGACCGACATGTTCAACGTGAGTCACACCATGCTGCCCACAATTCTGCAGATGTATGCTCCTGCCGACAATGCCGACAAGGACGGCACGAAGTCGCCCCGCAAACAGCTGAGACGGCTTCTGCAAGCATCATCAAAGCGACCCGGAAGACCTTGATTGTGCATTGCAATGTAAATTCAGCACACAACAAGCCTGGTAGTTGCTAGAAGCTCAATGCAGTTGCGCTGTCGTTTCTCCAAAGACTCTTCAGTCAACTGCAGCAGTCTTTCGCAGGAGGTAGACTGGTATTGGACAACTGCAGCAATCTACGGCGACTACGCCATCAACTGCCCGACCTTGCGGGCTGCGGATTGGATTTCAAACATGAGCGAGAAGGACTGCAGCAGATGCGCTGCCGCGGATGCCCCCAAAATGGCTGTGGTTCCTGTTGGCCTCCCTTTTAATCAACGCCACAACGGGCACCCTCAAAATGAACACCAATTTTGGGCGCATAAAGCAATAAAACAAAGGGACAAAGGGTACCCTCCAAAAGACACCCAGGTGTTTGTGCGCAGGACACCTTCCTTTACCGCTTTGCGCACACACCGAAGGCTCCAGCACCACATTGGGCCGGAATCTTCGGCGAGGTCAGAGCCTCAGGTTGCGAAAGCTGAAAGTCTGTTTGTCGTGGCTGAAATGGGCGAATATCCTCAGATTCGCGACACAAAAACAATGGTTGCAACCTTCTTTGAATTCAAGGCTGCACGGGGGATCGCAAGTGGATTGAGAGCTAAATTGGAAGGCATCAGACAAAAATATATGATAAGTTGTCACCAACATGAGACGCTAGAAGGCATTGTTGGGAGAGGATTTCGGGGAGCGAGGGTTTTAGATCCCATGTATCGGATGCCTGCCTTGCTTTGATCAAGGATGTCAGCCAAACGCTGCAGACTTTGTTTTATTAAAGATGGTACAGTCCCCTGGCTCGTTCTGCATGCTCGTTCTGAGGGATTGCAGGCAGTATTGCAACCTTGTGCAAGCAAGTCTTAATGAGAAATGAGGTCTAAATGGGAGAATGGGAAAGGGTGTGTCTCCATATCTCCCACCAATGTGTTGCCTCATTTCTGTATCATAGGGTCTCTTGGTTAGAATTGTTTCCTGACCGTGCAAACGGTGAGCAATCTGATGTGTGGAACGGCAAGACGTTCCCGTGCAAAGCTGCATTTGCAGATCCTTTGGAGTCCATGGGCTCATGTTATGTCACTCTTTGCACGGCCATCCGCATACATTGGAGCCGAGGAGCTTTAGCGCCCCTTTTGGGCGATGTGAACAAGACATGGAGTATGTGTGCAAGGGGACCACTGTTTGGTGGGTGTGTGCCTTGTGGCTTCCTTTAAACCAGCCTGAAAAGGGTGCCAAGCTACTGAGAACCGAACAAACGATCAAGTTCTAGAACCAGTCGGATGGAAATCAACCACTTTGCTCAAGACATCAACCAATTGGGCACTCACAAGCACAGCCTTTCGATTTTCCAACAGTCACCTACGCTATTTGCAAATGGTTCAGTGAGAACTCACTGGCTATAAACGGTATCCCAACGAGCGAGCCACAATCAAAGCCCGGGTAGATGAAGATTAGTAACGGATACTCCCAACCACAGCTAACTCTATACATTCTGGGGATCGACCATTTTGATACCGGGTTTTGATTGTAACTCCATGGAGCGAGCCCTTCATCGAGCCATTGAGCCGTTTTTGAGCAAGTGACTCACTGCTTGGTTCCCTGCGTTTTTTTCGGCACGAAACAAGAGAGAAGGCCCCGGCTTTCTTTGGGAAAAAGTAACGAAAACATGCCATCGAAAGCAGAAGTCTCTTGGGCCCCTTGAGCCAGGCGGGCACGGTGGGCGCCAGCCACGCGGCGGAGCTGGGCTTTGTGTGGCTGGGCCTTGACGGCTGGGAGGCCTCCAGAGGCGCTGCGGAGGGCGGCTGGCCGCTGCGGGGCAAGGCTCCGGGCTGGGAAGCAGCAGGTAATTGCTTGGTTGGTTGGTTGGTTGGTTGGTTGGTTGGTTGGCTGGCTGGCTGGCTGGCTGGCTGGTGTGTGTGTGTGTGTGCGCGTGGGTGTGTGTGAGCGAGTGCGCGTGCGCGTGCGCGTGCGCGTGCGCGTGTGCGTGTGCGTGCGCGTGTGCGTGTGCGTGTGCGTGTGCGTGTGCGTGTGCGTGTGCGTGTGCGTGTGCGTGTGCGTGTGCGTGCGCGTGCGCGTGTGCGCGTGTGCGTGCGTGCGTGTGCGTGTGCGTGTGCGTGTGCGTGTGCGTGTGCGTGTGCGTGTGCGTGTGCGTGTGCGTGCGCGTGCGCGTGCGCGTGCGCGTGCGCGTGCGCGTGCGCGTGCGCGTGCGCGTGTGCGTGCGCGTGCGCGTGCGCGTGCGCGTGCGCGTGTGCGTGTGCGTGTGCGTGTGCGTGTGCGTGTGCGTGCGCGTGTCCCTTGCGTGTGCGTGCGCGTGTGCGTGTGCGTGTGCGTGTGCGTGTGCGTGTGCGTGTGCGCGTGTGTGCGTGTGTTTGTGTGTTTGTGTGTGTGTCTGTGTGTCTGTGTGTCTGTGTGTCTGTGTGTCTGTGTGTGTGCGTGTGTGCGTGTGCGTGTGCGTGTGTGAATGTGTGTGTGCGTGTGTGTCTGTGAGTGTGTGTGTGTGTGTGTGTGTTTGTGTGTGTGTGTGTCTGTGTCTGTGTCTGTGTCTGTGTCTGTGTCTGTGTCTGTGTCTGTGTCTGTGTTTTGTGTCTGTGTGTCTGTGTTTGTGTGTGTGTGTGTCTCAGTGTGTCTGTGTGTGTGTGTGTGTCGCTGTGTGTGGTTTGTGTGTGCGTGTGCGTGGGTGGGTGGGTGTGTGTGTGTGTGTGTGCGTGCGTGTGTGTGTGTGTGTGTGTGCGTGTGCGCGCGCGTGTGCGTGTGCGTGTGGGTGTGTGTGGGTGTGTGGGTGTGTGGGTGTGTGTGTGTGTGCGCGTGTGCGTGCGTGTGTGCGTGCGTGTGTGTGTGTGTGTGCGTGGGTGTATGTGTGTGTGTGTGCGTGCGTGCGTGCGTGCGTGCGTGCGTGCGTGCGTGTGTGTGTGTGTGTGTGCGTGTACATGCGCATGTGCATGTGCGTGTGGGTGTGTGGTGCGGTCTTTGTGTGGGTGTGTGTGTGTGTGCGTGCGTGTGTGCGTGCGTGCGTGCGTGCGTGCGTTCGTGCGTGCGCGCGGTTGTGTGTACATGGGTTATGATAGTATGTGGTTGTGTGTGTATGTTTGTTTGCGTGCGTGTGGGTTTGTGTGTTTGTTTGTGCATGTGTAGGTGTCGTTGCGCGTGTTTGTATGCTGAGTGTCTCCGTGGCGGTCTGCGTGAGTGTGTGTGTACTCGTGTCCTGCTGTGCTCGCGCTTCTGCATGTGTGTTGGTGTTCGCTTGTGTTTGTTTGTTTGCTTGGCTTGTGTGCTTGCCTTTTTGCCTGTTCTCTCATATATGTGTGTGTGTGTGCGTGACATGTTGTCACTGCCCATGCCATTTTGCTTCTGTGTGCTGTGTTGCGTGTGCGCTGCTGTGGGTGGTGCCGGTTGTGTTTGCTGCATAGTCTCTAGTGTGTGCGTAATGTGTGTGTGTTCGTCAGTGTTTGCTTCTTAAATGTAAGTGCATGCGTGCTTTTGTTGTGAGTCATTGTTGTATAGGGCTAGCAGGGTGTATTTTGTGTGTGTGTGTGCGGCTTTGCTCGTGCTAGTGCAAGCCATTGCTCTTTTTGCTCCTAATGAGGCCCAACTATGGATACTGAATGTTGCAACAATGAAAGAAACACAGTCAAGAGATCGATCCTCCATTTTCATGTGGGCCGCCCATACGGTCTTTGACAAATGCTACACATGTCATCGGCTGCATGTATGTTTGATACAGTAGCTGCTTGTATCCTTGTGAGATGCGTGGTCTTCCACGCATCACTGTATCAGCACTCAGGAGGAGTGGCAGCTTGCCAAAACCATGGCCACCTATTGGACGAACTTTGCAAAGACTGGCAGCCCCAATCGTCCGGCAAATGCGGGGGCCTCAGTGTCAAATGTAGGGAATTCAAAGGGTGGGTTTGTTTTGTGTTGCCTTCAAAACCCCAAAGCGATGTCCTAAATCATAGCCAGCCATTTCACATCATGCTGACGTCCTTTGATGCCAGCCCTGCAATTCCAGTGTCACAATGAGGCAGCCACGAACGTGGCTCTCTTGCAACAAAGCCTGCACCTTCCTTCAAGCACTTGCTTGGGATGAGTGGGTAAGTTGAAGCTTTGCTAGCTTAATATCCCTTGCAGCGCAGTGTTTCACTGGTGTGCAACAGCCTTCACTGGGCCAGCCTAGTTCATTCCAATCAGGATTCCAGGAACAGGCTTGTGGTCAAATACGTACATGCTGAGGCCGATGTCTTGTTTGACCTTTGGCATGAACCTTGAGCTCACAGTCCATTCCAAGAGCAGTCACTTATTGTGGCCAGGCAAGCATTGCAAGCACACACGCACACGCCTGCAAATTTGTTTGGGGGTTCGCCTATTTCGTCATACCCGGATTCAAGGAGGAAACCTGTCTATGGTCCATTCGGGTGGCAAATGGGGGCACAAACAAAACGTCCCACAAAAACCAGGGATTCAGTAAACCCCCCCATGTCCTCAGGGCGGCTCTGACAGGGCCTCACGGCGTGCAGCTTGTTGGATTGTTTGATCGGAGTCAGGCAGGCCAAATTTAATTCGGGAAGAGATACTTATGACTTATGGGGATTTAGACAGTTTCAGGGGTTCTTTTTTAAAACCAACTTTGGTGATGGTCGGGGAGTAGGTGTGTCCTGATTTCGCTCTGTGGCAGCACAGGCCTTGGAAAGGATCCTGTTAGACGACCAAGACGTGACTGTTGTCCTAGTGTTGCAGTCATGGCCTTGCGACGAAGGACCAGAACCAAACAAAGACACACGGAAATGCATGACTTGGAAGGTCCTTGGTCGATTCAGCAAGCACCTTTCTCCCCTTCCTTGCTGAAGGGAAGCTGGCGATTTGCATCTTCCGGGAGAAGCCTTGCTCGCTAGCACTCTGTAACGGCCCGAGCACAGCCACAAGTTTGCTACCACAGCACTGTAGCGTGTTCCCTTTTTTCCTTTCAGAAAGAAACAGCAGCACAAGGGCACAGAACAGTAAAAACCTGGCCAGAGTGTGTGAGGGCAGATGCCCCGCAGCCTTTTTGGAGGGTGCTTCCGAATTCCCCTTAAAATCAATCAAAACACCTAGATCTGAACAAATCCATGCCCTTTGTCTTTCCTTCTCCACAGGTCTGGTCCTTTTTGAAGCCGACGTGAGGTGACCGACGCCTGGCCGCCGCTGCCGTCGGCGCTGCAGCTGGCGCTTCACGGAGCAGAAGCCGCGGATCTCGCGGAGCAGAAGCGGCGCTGCGCGCTGGTCGACCGCTTGGGGCCCATGGTGGAAGGCCGGAACTTTGGTTGGACCACGGGCGCAGGGCCTCGTGCAAAACCCAAAGGTCCGGGTGCAAAACGAATAATTGTTTTGTTTTCCTGGGTGGCTTTTTTCGTTACGGTGACCTGTGGCCTTTTGTTTTTTTCCCACAATGACGGGAAGCCCGGTTTCCTGCTCATGTCCTGAAGTGACAGCATGCTCTAGAATGGGTCCCTGAAAGTGGGTGTGGAGTTTGTTCGGGCTGCGTTCCCAACCTCTTCGGAAAGGAAACGCGTTCTAACCCTAAAAGTGGCGTCAATGGTTCCCTTCCATTGAAAGTGATTGCAACTGATTTCGGCCTTCCTAAGGGGGTGAGCAGTTTGAGCAGTTTGAGGGCCTTCCGAGCTTACCGATTGGAGACGGATGTTCCTTTCAGTGGCTGGGTCCTTCAAATGTTGACTGGATCCAGAAAAAATATGTCAGCAAGGGAGAAATCCCTTTGAGGCTAATTTTGGGGATGTCATTTTTCCGGGGGGGGTGTCTTTTTTAGGAGACCCCCTTGTTGGTGGGGTTTAAAAGGAACCCCAAAGGAAAACTGCCATGCGGGGACAGACCCTGATAGACCCAGATCCAGGTGATGCTTTTGTGTTCAGGAATGCACACCGTGAGAGTTGCATTTGATGCATCTTCTGGGCTTTATTGCCAAAAAATGTGGCTGTACCAAACAAAATGGACAGGATCTGACCTAGGGGCAACAATGGTCACCATGAGGTGAGAGCTTGCGGAACCAGGACTGTGTTTTATACACGGAGTTTTGATGTGAGAAAAGGAGATACAGTGCCCGCAAATTCCGCACTTCGGCCGCAGGTTACACACAATCACGGCGTTTGCAACGCCAGCATCCGGATCCAGAATTGGCGCCGCCTTTTGTATTGGTATGAGAGCACAACACTTTGAACCGGCAGGTTTGCTGCCAGACTTTTGTTCCACCACCATGGTGGATTGGACAGAATTCGGTGCACAGTTTTGCTCAAGAGGCGGAGTGTTACATGCCGCTGATTGAGCTGAGCCGAGTCCGCTGGCAGATTCGGGCGTCTCTAAATCGGATCGACATGTCTCATTACCAACCGAAACGGGGTCTCCCAACAATGAGACACCCGAAAGCCTTCCGAATTTTGCAGGCTCTCTTCCGTGCTATCCCAGCACGCCAGTCACTTCCACAAGAGCCAAGTTGGCCTTCGATTGGCCGCTGACTGCTGAGAATCTGAGCGTAGCAAGTCAGAAGTAGATTTGGCTCCAGGACAGTGACTCAAATGGAGCGTGTTGCTCGGCTGTGCACGTCAAGATGTGTTTTGCAATGTGAAGCCGACTGTAAAGTTCTGTGGCTTTTGTGAAGTCCCAAACTCAAACCACGGCACCCGCTTTCCAACAATTGAAGCTGGCGATCGGGTTTCGGAAGACAGTCGTTTTGAAACGGTCGGCAGCTTCCATTGGAAAAGGAGTGAGGGGTGAGGTCCAGAGAGGCGCTGGGGCATGAAGCGCGTTCAACCTCTTATGGCAAATCCATGTCTGAGGATTGGCATTCGGCGTCATGCACTTGACCAAGCTGTCACAGAGCCGGGTGCCCAACCAGCAGCACCACCCCCACCCCCCCCAGCCGTCACCGAAGCATGGAAAGCATGGTGAGGAATGAGTTTTGGGTCTGGAGCAAGGGTAGGGGGGCCTGAGCTTGTCATGTCCACGAGTTGTGCTAGTGACAACAATGGGACCCCTTGTTCGCTGCAGAAAGTCTGAGTCTAGGCTCACCAGCAAGTCAAAATGATCAAGCCCAAAATTTGCAACAGTGAATTGCACATACATTTGAGCGTTTTTCTAAACCTTTTCTTTGAAGGGGGTCCCTTGGAAACCATAGACATATGAACAAAAGGTGCCCCTTTTCCTGTTTCCATGTGATTGAAATCAACTGCAAAACCATGTTGTTTTTCTCGCTTTTCATAAAATCACGAAATGCGAGTCTACATGTGTCTTCATGGCCATAACCTTTTTTGCAAATACCAAGGCAGGCGAGCCAGACAATCCTGGCACATATGTGTTTGGAGGAGGTGAAGACCAGCGCTCTGTGTGGCACTGAGGCTAGATCAGTTCTTCGCCCGTCAGATACGTTCTCAATTGTCGACTAAACTCGTTGGCATCCTCCAAAACCTTCATTTATTTTGGGGTAAAACACAGAATCATACATATTTATATATGTATATATTGTTTTTTTCTGTGTCCAGGAGGGGGCCAAGCAAGCTGGCTAGCATCTTTTGGGGTTCCCTTACACTAAAAGGGGGTCCAACATTTTCAGAATGAGCGCCGGACAAATTTACGAAGCTTTCCCTAAGGGGTGGAAATTTGGGTGGTCCTCCCTTTATCGTCCTCCCCAACCAAACCATAGGCGAGTTGTACCAGGCAGTTGTGTCGGTTGCTTGGAGAGACTCCTCATATCAAATACAAGGGAGGCGGCCGCAGACGCCACAATCAAACTCGCGCTGCTTTTCCTTTGTGGTGGCAAGTGTTGGTGTTTTACTAGGGAATCTGGATTAGGAAAGTGGGGTCCCCCCGATGTGACACCCAGGAAATTGAAGACACTGTGGTGATGAGGCGCATTCAACAGTAGCAGTGGTTTCAAGAGGAACCCAAACCAAAACCAGCCGTACTAGGCTAGTTCCCATTGTGACGCTTGAGGTGCGGTCAAAACTACCAATAGCCTATAGTTACATGGAAGGGGCACAAAGGACTCACGAGATTTCCCACCCAGGTGACACTCCAGAAACATCCCATGCCCAAACCTTCGTATTTGTTTCATCGCCCTTTTTCTGGGGTGGTTTTTGTTGGGTACAATTTCCCATGTTTGTGCGCCATTTTGTATTGGGGGTCTTTGGTGGGTACCCCTTGTTGTTGTTTTTCCCTGTAGGGAGCCAGCCTTTGGATCCGGTGCATATTTGTTATTTTGTCTAGTTTTTTTGTTTTTTTTACTAGGGCTGGTCCCCTTTTTGGTTGGTTCGTTGGTTGGTTGGGGCACTAGTTAAAAAAAAAAAAAAAAAAACCTTGGTTCAACTTAAACCCACTTCGCAGGCCTTTGAGCCGGCCATGCTCGAAGCAGAGGATCGCTTTCGGAGCCAGGTGCGATCGCGCAAGCGATCGACTCGGGACAAGTTTTTCAGCATGCTTTGCGGCGACATTAGTATGAGCATGAGAGTTTATGAGCCATTTGTTTAATGCAACTTTTGTTGAAGTCTTCTAAGCTTAACTTGTTTCATTTTGGATAGTAGAGTTCTGAATATAATAATATTGAGTAGATTAGTTCATAGCTCTCGATCGTGGCGCTTGATGGTTCCTGGACGGGTGTCTTTTATGGCAACACATTCACAGGTGTGTTTGTTGGGGGGTTTTAGAAGGAAACCCAACAGCAAGCCAAATTTTTGGAGGTCCCCTAATTTTGGGACAAACCCAGCCGTCCCAGACTGACCTAAGAATTTGCAGCTGCAAAGTATCTTGG